AAAAAAAAACGGACTAGTTAGCACTTCATTTAGCAACACAAACAAGTCAGACTAGTGGAGTGTTTATTACCAACTGGTTTTCCTTGTCCTTTACACAGAAGATGCATTTTTTGACCTAAACCAATATCAATAATCTGTCCATCTGAATATAAAAACAGAAAAAAAGAGAACAAAGATTAGGCTTGATTTGCTTCTCATTTGAATAAAAGAACTTACAGCAATAAATTAAAATCAAAACCTGCTTTGCAGATTTGTTAACACATGAAACTGACAGAAAGAATGAATTAGACCAGAGAACCTTTGGGCAGAAGCATCTGTCCTTCTCTCTGCAGCGCCGCATAGTTGAGGAAGGGAGGAATGACGATGATTAAAAGTAAACACTTTCCAAAGTTTAAGATAACTGAGCTGTAAGACACTCTGCTTTTAGCTTCAGCCTGGCTCCTCCGTCTTTGGTCTGAATCCTAATTTATGCAAAGAAAACAACAACACAATGTTATCTCATATATTATTGGATGATGTCTGCATTTTCATTTAAATTAAAAATGTATACACACCAGTTTTAAAATGTAATGGTGCCCTGAAAACGACTAAAGCTGTGTGAGTGTGTGTATATACACACACGTACAATCCCAATTTTAAAAGTTGGGACATTGCTAAATATAAAAATGGCCACAAAGATGTGCAATTTTCATAAACCCATGTTTTATTCACAATGCAAACATATTAAATGTTTAAAACTAAAAGTGTACCATTTTTAGTGAAAAAAAACAAGATCATTTTGATCTTGATGGCAGCAATACACCTCCATAAGCTTAATATAGAATTATATTTACCACTGTGAAGCATCTCTTCCTTGAGCAACCGTCTGTAAATGTCTAGGATCTGAGGAGACCAGCTGGAGTTTCTAGAGTGAATGTTGTCCTTTTCTAGACTGATGTAGGATTCTAGCTGTTCAACAGGCCTGGGTCTTGGATGGAAGCCTATCTTGTTCTAAAACCAGTCTATACTTTTCTGCACTGCTGGGGTCTTTTCACATTTAAGCTGCTCATGCTATAGGCACTAATGTATCCCCATACCATTAGAGAAGCAGGCTTTTTGAACTGTGTGCTGGGTAGAGCTGTCATTTCTAACCCGAGCCCTAAGCTCGACCCCACCCGACCCGAATTTGGAGCGGGCCGGGCCATAATAATGTGCTGGATGGGTGAGCCGGGTCGGTGTCGAGCTTTTGATTGGGTCAGGATAAGTCACAATCCAATTATATGATAACATGGCCTGCCATACTTTCACCAGCCGCACACGGTCATTTCACCGTGAGCTGACCGGCCTTGAAAGAGGTAAAAAGTTCAGTTAAGCTTCAGATGGGACTATACTGTCAGGAAGTGATCCATCACCCAAATGGACGTTCATTCAGCCACTGCACTCAGTGGACACGCGCGGCCGATGACCCAAACAGGTGAGATACCAAAGCAGATGTGTCAGAGCAGGATCCATGTCTGAATAAATCAGAAAGCAGCAGAAACAGGGTTTAAATGCACTTTTATGGACATGAAAGGACAAACACACCCTCAGCTCCGATCTTCTGCACCTTTCAATCAGCCGCGCGTCCCCGACCTTTACTAACTCATTAAAAATGTCGGGGGGTTCGCGTTCGGACCTGTAATTACTGTTAATTTGTTGGGGGCGTGTGGGGTTTGGAAATCATGACTGCGAACTGGAGTCGAGTCGGATCTGATATTTGGGCCCAAATGCAACTCTAGTGCTGGGACCCGGCTGGATGGTCCCTCTCCTCTTTAGTACAAATGTAGTGAACTTGACCTGATGTCAAAACTTGACCTTAGGATCATATGGTCAGAAACTGTCATTTCATTGATTTGCATCCCGAAATACAGGTTGATCGATCCTGAGACTTTCTTTCTTGAATTAATCAAGTGGAAAAAGACAATTCTCTATGATCATTACTATTTTACAAATGTTTTGATAATCAAATTGTGTTAGTTTAAACAATGTTTACATGTTGAAGTGAACTACTCATTTTTATTTACTTAAAACAGTAATAATGAATTAGTCCTCATTCAAAGAAGAAATCAGGTTAATATGCATTTCTTGATTTTCTGTCTTCAATGAGCAAAGTTGTAAGTGTGTCGAAGTTCAAGTTCGGTCAACTGAAAGTTTACTGAAAAGAAATGTCATGTTTAACTTTTACAGCAAGATACTGGGAGAGGTGGCTCCACGAAGTCTGAATACTCCATGATATCTTTCTGTCTGTTCTTAAACAATCTGAATCTTTTCCTTGACTTTTAATAACACCTTACATCACAAACCACACCTCTGCTTTGGTCCATCGACCAATCAAAAAGCTCTCAAATGAACCGGAAGTAGAGCTCTTTAAAATGTTGGCACTTACTAGTTCAAACAGAGTTTTTAGAGTTCAGCTCGAAGAGTTTTTGGAATTCAGAATGCAGAGAGTTTGGGAGTTCCAGAATGCAGAACGCTGGAATTCAGGATGCTGCTGAATTAGAATCAAGCTGATCCAGAGACGATTTTGGGAATTATAACTTCTGTTTGGATAACCTCACACGACTCTCGAGGTTCGAGCTGTTCTCACGGAGACGCTGAAAGAGTTGAAAGGAGAGCTCTACACCAACGCTGAACTATCGTCTGCAAGGTAAAAAGTTCTATTCTCAACCAAGCGTACCGTTGGCCCAAGCTGGAAAAGAAGGAGCATGTCGGTTCTGGTTAAGACAGACAAATTCCCTCACACATCTCTCTGTAGATAAACCTCATCTTTCCATCTTAAGATTTTCCTATCTGCTAAAAATCATTACAGATATTTTTAGAAATGTCTGAAGCAAAGTTTTCAATCACCGTCGTGCGATTTGATGTCTGCTGTCTGCTGAAAGTGAGGAAACAATCGCCGTATTGTTCTCACTCCTGTAAAGCTGATTAATTATGTCGTTATTTTCAATTCTTGCCAATTAATGTAAATGTGTGATGTGTTAAACTTGATTCTGTTAATAAATGACCCACTGTCGTGGTGAGTCATAGATAATTAACGTCTCACGTCCACATTTTTATTACATTCAATGCACGCATGTTACACAGTCCAGAAAAATGAAAGAACCCGTTTTAACAGTATGAATATATCTGTGGATATGTCATACTACACAAAAGACAGTGCCTCGTGGTTTTTCAATAGGATTGTAAATATTTGTCTGACCACATAACAAATGTAACATTTGCCTCAGTCCATTTTGAATAAAGTTAGGCACAAAGAAGATGGCTGCATTTCTGGATGGTGTTCACAAACTCTCAAGGATTGTCAGGATGTGCAGCCAAACTGCTGGCATAGCCCTGCAGAACCTCACTGACTTACAGAACCTCACTGACCTTCAGAACCTCACTGACCTACAGAACCTCACTGACCTACAGAACCTCACTGGTCTACAGAACCTCACTGACCTACAGAACCTCACTGACCTACACAAGGTGAGGTCAGTGAACAAGGCCAGGCTGGTTCTGCAGATCCTGATCACCCACTCCATGGTGAGTTCAGGTTGCTTCCATCTGGACGCAGGCATCTACTGCACAGATGTAGAATGAACAGACTGAAAAACTCATCTATCCCTGTAGTGATCAGGCTTCTCATGATTTCATGTATTCTTGTTTTAACGTATGGATATTGTGTGCCTACTGACTGTGAAACAAATTGCCCCTTGGGTTTAAAAAAAGATTCTTGAACTTGAATACATGGCTTCTTCTTTGCATGATAGAGCTTTAACATTTGTAGAAAGCATAGCAAATAGTTTTGATTTGCAGAATGTATTTTTGAGCCCATGCAGAGATATCCAGAACAGAATCAGACCTACAGTATTTCTATTCAGTGTCATCTCGGGGCCCAAAGATTGCAGGTATGCAATGTGGACTTTTAGCCTTATCATTTGTGCTCACATACTTCTCCAGATTCTTGAATTTGTTTAATATGTCCTGCAAATGATGGGGTATTGAAACTCTTCCCAATTTTCTGTTTATAAACATCGTTCTTCAAAAACTCCACTACTTTTAGATGCATGTTTTTACAGACAGGTGAACCTCTGCCCATCTTTATCTCTGGGAGATTAAGCCTCCCTAAAATGTCCTTTTATGATGACAGTTAACCTAATTAGATGTAACATGGGCAGCACAGCGATGCAGGGGTTGGAGTGTGCTGGATGTTTCTCTTTTGTGTCCCTGTGGTGGACCTGCGCTCTGTTCAGGGTGTACGTCTCACAGTGACTGTGGACACGGGCACCAGCTCCCCACCACTTGGAAGAGGCAGGTGGGACTGACAGAAGGCGATTTAGCAGCCCGGGGAGCAAATGGGGAGGTTAAGGGCCCAGAGAAGGTGGAGTAAGCTGTGTCAAGTCAAGTCAACTTTATTTATAGAGCACATCTAAAACAGAACCTGTTATCAAAGTGCTTAACAACCTCAACATATGTGGGTGCTTCACCTTTCCCAACCACACTTTTGTTGTTGGTCTGGGGATTCGAACTGGTGACGTATCGATCATCGCCTTCTCTACCTTCTGCTCCACCACTCCTCCTAATATATATATTTTATTTTATTATTTTTCATCCACTACGGAAGTAATAAGGATTTATGACATTAGCACATCATTACAGACAGGTTTATATTTTTTCACAATTCACACAAACTCACAGCATTTTTGTACAAACCGGATTCCAAAAAAGTTGGGACACTAAACAAATTGTGAATAAAAACTGAATGCAATTATGTGGAGATGGCAAACGTCAGTATTTTATTCGTAATATAACATACTGTAGATGACAGATCAAAAGTTTAATCTGAGTAAATGTAACATTTTAAAGGAAAAATATGTTGATTCAAAATTTCACAGTGT